TGATTGAGTTCTTCTAACTCTGTCAATACGGACAGAGATTCAAAGCCCCGCACACCCCATTGAATATTTGTGTAAATACCCTCTTTTAAAAAATCCTTATGTGCCAAAATAAAAAATGAAAATTCCAATGCAACTGCAACGAACCAAAAGGCACCTCTCTCCTTTCTCACTCAACTTTTTACACTTTTTCTTTGTCAACCTTTTAGTCCAGACCTCATTTTCTCCCACATTTCCGTTTTCTTAAAATTTTCTTCTTCAATGTAATAAAAATCACAGCACGCTCTTTTCAACTCTTAATTTTCCGTTTTCTTTGTTCGCCACAATTGCTGTCTTTATGTCGGGGCCGGATTCTGGACCCGAGTTCTTTGCGGGTCGGCCCAGGCCATGGCGACCCGACGATCTTCTAAACAGCAACAGCAACACGGAGAGAGCAGCGTACGGCGTCGTTCCGGGGGTTGTGGGTGCCAATGCGAGCGAGCCGGTGCCGCCGGAGACGGTGGGAGGGCTTGTGCGGGAGTTTTCAAAAGCGGCGGCGGAGATGGCCGTGGAGTTCGGGAAAGGGTGCAGGGATATAGTGCGGCAGAGCCTAGGGAATCGCGACTCTGTATTGGTCAGAAGCTTCGGGAAGGTCAGGGACTCGTACTTGGGGAAGATAGTGACGCGGCTTCGCGGGAAATTGAGGTTCATCAACGAGTATTTGCCTGAAGATAAGGAGCCGCTTCATGCTTGGTCTGTGATTGTGTTCGTCTCGTTTCTTGCTTTTGCAGGTGCGTGAGAGTGTGTGTGTGGTTTGATGTGTTGTGTTTGGTTGGTGAGAAAATGTGGGCGGAAAGAAACGAGCTTTTGCGGTTGTTTATAATTTATGCTCTGTTTGGTTGCTGAGAAACTTCAGGACTAATAGTTTATTTATTTATTTATAGGTTATGCTTGTTATGCGTTTTGAAATTTTGGTAAATCTGAAAATTTTTGGGACATTAAAATGTTTCAGCAGAAAAGAAAAGGTGTGACTCAAGTTTTTGTTCTGTTTTTCGAAACGTTTTCTTGTGTTTGGTTGATGAGAAAATGAAGGAAATAGGACTTTAAATTTCACTGTTCACCATTTTTATTTATTCAGTTTTCTGGACTCGTTTTAGCTTACAAATGGATCCTTGAAAACTACATGATCTAATTCCTTTCTCGACAACCAAACATAATATTTTGGAAATCTCGGAAATGTTCTGCGAAAAGCTTCATACAACATATCTGGTCTCAAAGTGGTCAAAATTTATCATACACCGCAATTAACTTTAGTACAAATATTTTAATTTTAACATTTGAAACTTGAAATTTCATTTCCACCATTCTTACATGTAGAATGCGTGCTCCTGTTAGTCAGATTATTCATGAGATCTTTTTTGTTTATTGTTGTGTTTTATTTCCCAAGTATAATTGGGTCTTTAAAATAAGTATGCATCTTGCTGACATGGGTTTACAAATTTCCAGCATTGTATGTGAATAGCGAAGGTACTGTTTCCACTCCCACCCCTGAGATAAAGAAGATATACATCCATCCTCCCAGTGCTGCTCGCATAATGCTTCCAGATGGAAGATACATAGCATACAAGGAGCAAGGTGTTCTAGCAGACAGAGCTAGATTTTCAATCATTGCTCCACATTCTTTCCTATCATCCCGGCTTGCAGGTCCTATATTTTAGATGTTTATCTGCTTCACTACCCTTTATGTTTAATGCACAATGCACTTTCTTAGTTTTGTTTGTATCATTCTTTTGAAAATTAGGAATACCTGGACTTAAGGCTTCTCTATTGGAAGAGTTTGGCGTTCGCTTATTGTCATATGATCTTCCTGGTTTTGGAGAGAGTGATCCTCACCCCAACAGAAATCTCGAATCTTCAGCAATAGATATGTTGCTCTTAGCTGATGCTGTTGGTATTAATGACAAGTTTTGGGTTGTGGGATACTCGAGCGGAAGCATGCATGCCTGGGCAGCACTCAGATACATTCCTGATAGACTTGCAGGTATCAATGTCTATCTTCTATACAATGTTTCTATGACTATGCTTTTTTTCCAAAGTATTGCAAATGTTAAAAAAAAAAAAAAAAAAAAAAAACAAAGAAGAAGTAAAAAATATGGGCACACTGGTACTTTGATTCTTCGAGTGTCATCGCTTCGAAGGAATATCTGTGCTGGTAGTCTCATCTCAAGTACTATTTATTATGGTAATGACCTTGAGTTTTGCAATGTAGCCTGAAATTTATGATTTTCATGCAAGAAGTAATAGCTTGAAGATTTCTACGTTTACCTGGGTGTGATGTTGCTAGGTTTTTGTAACCAACATTAACATCTAATAGCCTGATCTGGCAAGAAGTCAATTCCTATATGGATGATAAGTCTTTGATTAAACCAATATTTTATGTTGATTAAACTTATAGGTGTGTTCTACAAGATTTTATGATCATTTAGAATTTTATCTGGTAACAAAATTTTGATGTCTCTCATGTACTGTAATGACTAAAATATTTTGGAGGAAATTAGGATCTCTGCTGTATTTTGTCCAAAAGCATTTTTTCATGATCCATAGCGGTCTAACTTGCAGGTGCTGCCATGTTTGCTCCAATGGTTAATCCATATGATTCAATCATGACTAGGGAAGAGAGACGTAGAACCTGGGAGAAGTGGGCGCGAAGCAGAAAATTTTTGTACTTTTTAGCTAGGAGGTTTCCTAGATTTCTTTCATACTTCTATCACAGAAGCTTCTTATCTGGAAAGCATGGCCAAATTGATAAATGGCTGTCATTGTCACTGGGAAGGAGGGTGAGGACATTATCATCATTCTGTTTACAGATTGGAACATTTGGAAATTTGGCAACTAGATTTTAAATTATTACACCAACTCATAAGTTCCTTTTATATGTAACTATGTATATGGACATGTAATCTGATCTTGGAGGTCTTCTCTTGTAACAATGAAGAAATAATATCAAGGTTGATCTCTCACACGTCGCAGTGCAGTATTCTAAAAATGCACCAAAGTTCATCTACAGTTGTTCATCCAAATTTTTTTTAAAACATCTTCTCCTGGTAGATCTGGAATATAATGCATAGATAATTTGTTAGAAGCTTGGTTCACATGTCATTCTAATTCCATAGTTTGGCTCTCGTTTCTCTGTGTTTTACTTTTGGAATCATTGAATTATCACAATGAGACTATTATTTAACCTTTGAATTCTCATTGAATGTTTTTGTTGTTGCTGAGATTCTCCAGGACAAAGCTTTAATTGAGGACCCAATCTATGAAGAGTTCTGGCAAAGGGATTTGGAAGAATCAATTAGGCAGGGAAATGTGAAACCGTTTGTGGAGGAAGCTGTTTTGCAAGTGTCGAACTGGGGTTTCAGCCTTGCAGACCTGAAATTGCAGAAGAAACAACAGGGGAAAGGCCTGCTCAATTGGCTTAAGTCTGTGCTCAGCGCAGCTCAGGAGGAATACATTGGCTTCCTTGGCCCTATACACATATGGCAGGTCAGAAGCATCTCCATTGTAACATGTTTGTTTCAGCTAATCAATTATTTACTGCTAAGATACTTGCAATATTTTGCAAGAAGACCAGGTTAAATGTTGAGTAGAATTGTAGAAAAACCAAAATCAGCCATTTGACAGGGATTATTCTGATTGAGTTTCTTCCCCTCTAATTTAAAACGTTACACAACTTTCGCTAAGTTCGTCAAGAACAGATTTCTGCTAACATACTCTTAGACAGATTGCTGGAGATAGTTTCCTTGTAACCACAATGAATCTCAAAGCAGTAAATGGCTTCAGTCAAATTACACACAGGCCTTTATTATTGCTTATCTGAGGTATCAATTTTCTGTGAAATAAGATATTAATTAAGACCATTTTCCTCCAATGTTTGACAGGGGATGGATGATAAGGTGGTCCCACCGTCAATGACTGATTTTGTGCACCGGATTTTACCAGGAGTTGCAGTACATAAGCTCCCATACGAGGGCCATTTCACCTATATCTACTTCTGTGATGAATGCCATCGACAGATATTCACTACACTCTTTGGAACACCACAAGGGCCACTGGACATTACAATAGAAGTGGATCAAAGTACTCTTGAAGGTAATACTGAAGAACAGGAAGAAGTAGCACTTGGTGATTCTGTTCCGGCACAGGCCGAGACATGATTTATTCTAAGTTTACGTCAGAGGTACAATGTATATACCATAGGTCGCTACGTTACTTGTAGTGTGGAAAAAAACAAAGAAAGGGAAAAAAAAATAAAAAGAAAAAGAAAAGTTAAACATCATGTTAGTTCTCTTGTTTAAAGTTTTGAGCTGTTTATCTCAAAACAAAATAAAACAAAAAAAGTTTTGAGCTGTTATAGGGGTTCCCCGGTGGAGCATGACCTTTGGGGTAAGTGTTGTCCAGAACAAAAATATACAAAGAAATCCAATCATTCTGATTTTCAATTATTGATTGAGTTTGGTGATTGATGCCATTTCACGCAAAGAAATAACATCTCTTATGTGACCCTACTAATCATATTTGGGTTATTTTGCACTTCACGTATGGTCATAATGGGCTTGACAATTTGCGAGCCTTTACATTTACCGTGCATTTAGTCGAATTTCTCTACATCTAGATCGTTTTGAATTTCGTTTTAAATTTTATGTATTTTTTATTTTTGTTTCTTTTAAATTCATTATATATTTTTATGTTATTTGGCCATATGGGGTAAAAAAAAATTCCATGTCAGCAAAGAACGAACACATAGGTGCCACCTAGGCAAACTTAACCCTAATTAATTAATTAGTAGAGTTATTTTGGCCAAGTATGCCCCACCCCAAACCCCGAACCTCTAAGCCACTCGTTCTAAAGCCTCAGGATCCATCCCAACCCTCTGGGCTCTTCACCTTCTGGCTTCAATTTTGCATTAGAGCAAGTCCAGCAACTAAGGCTGGACTCGGGCTTGGGGGGCGGGGGTTTGGGAGAAAATGGCATTTCCAGCAATAAAAGGCAGCCCGGGCAGGAGGTGGGGGCCACCAGACTGGGCTGGCCCGAGGGCTGTGATGTCATCGCTGGGAGTTGAGTATGAAGACGCTTCGAATGAGCCCGCATTCCAGATAGAAATTCCCGACCTATTGTTTTTCTGGAAAGACGTCCCTCGCGCTGGAGAGCACGGTCGTTAACTGCCTCTCCGCTTCCCCCGTGCTTGTACTTGCAACAGCGAAGAAAGCAGACCCATTAAGTGACTCCTTAAGACTAAAAGAATGGATTGATGGTTGAACTTAGGCTGGCGTCAGCCCTTCAGATTTGATTTTTTTCCACGTGTCGGCGTCTGGGCTCTCCGATTTGATTTTTTCCTTCAATTCAACGACAACCAATTTTTCTACAATAAAAAAATGAAAAAAAATCGAAATTTTTTTTAAAAAGCACCAAAAAATTATTTTTTTTTTTTTTTTTTCTCTTATTTCCATTTTCAACATTTTAAGTAAATGTCTTTGTCCTTTTACTTTAATTTATTTTTATATTACTCCATTTACTTAAGTTTACAATGTAAATAAGGAAGTACCCCCTATTTGGATTCAAATAAAAATACTAGAAAATCAAATTCCCACCAAATCAAAATATGAAAAATCAGTTTTAGTGCAAAATACGATTTAGGCTAAAAATGATGGCTCATTAAGTCAATATATACTTCATATTAAAATCCCATAAAATCAAGTTTTCTTATTTGATGTGTAAGGAATAAAAGCCGCCAAAAATTATCTTGAGAAAATGATTATTCTGAAAAACCATTTTTCATACTTAGTCAATATTACACCTCGGCGTCTTGAAAAAATTTGGAAAAAATTTATAAAAAAAACCCAAAAATTAATTAAAATTTTTTTTTCTATAAATACTAGCTAATTTTTTTAAAAATTTATCTGAAATTTGAAATTAAAAATTTTATCCGATTATGAGATATGAATAGTATTGACACGTAGGAACCCGAAAATCTTATCTGAAAATATTATCCAAATTAATTATTGAGGTTAAAAAATTTGTGAAAAAAACAAAAAAAATGAATAGTAATTGCCCTTAGCCATAGCAATGGGTGGAAACACAAAATACTATTTGCAAGGGCAACCACTATTCACGTGAATAGTGGCTGCGCTCCCCCCTTACCATGGCTAAGGGCAAATGGGTGGAGTTGCTCTTAGAGCACTTTCACCCCAAAGGACAAGGGCAAGGCAAAGTTTGTCACTATTTATGTGAATAGTGGAAGCCATTGTGTTTTTTGTTTCCACCCCAAAGGTAAGGGCAATTACTATTAGCTTTAGTTTATTTTCTATTTTTTATACTTAAACCATTAATTTTCATAAGATTTTTGGTTGCCACGTGTCACTATTTATTATAAAATTCTCATCTCAAATTTTAGATAAAATTTTCGGATAAGATTTTCGGTTGCCACGTATCCATATTTATTATAAAATTCATATATCACTCATCATACAATTGAAATACCTACTCACTCATCATACAGTTGAAATACTCTCAATCCTCAAAGTCCAACACAATCGAGTACAAGGACAACTCAATCATTGGTGGAGGCGGTTCCATCGGATCACAACATGGGGGAGTATTTTCCTTCGGAGGAAGTAATAGTGCTATTATTTCCGACACAAAATACACCACTGGAACCGTTTGCGGGTATTATTCACTTGAGGAACCATGTGTAATGGTTTTCCTCTTTTTTGTTTTACCTTGAATAATCTATTAAAAAAAATAAAATTGGAAATGCAAGAAATATAATATATATATATGTAACAAACATTAAATTGAATAAAATGGCAAAAAAAAATTTTTTTACCTCGTCATCAAGATTTTGACTGCTTCGAGCATTTGTCCACAACCTTCCGACTTCGATGGAAGAGGTCATTTTGTATTTTTACACAAATGAAATTTTATAGTAGAAAATTTGGCGTGGAAAGTGAAAAATATTGGAAGGAGATGAATTTGTATGAATATTTGGTGTGGAAGGTAAATAATATTGGTAGGTATTTGTAGAAAAAAATTTCAAAATTGTTTTCATTTTTTTAGCTAAATGGACAGTCGTTGGATTGGATAGGATTTTTGGATCGGATGCTACAGAAGAAGCTACGTGGCTTGTAGCCGTTGGTTTCTAGCAAATATGGGTCAGCATTGACGTTAGCTCAAGAAATTCAAAAAAAAAATTACCGCGTGCATTCCACGAACCAATAGTAAAAAAAAAAATTGATTTCAACCATTGACATCAGCAGCCTTCAGGCAATAGCCCAAGTGATTCTTACCTGTGGGCTTGCTCGGGTTGGTGGGTCCCACCCCTTGCCCGGGTTGGATCTTGTGTGCTGGAGGGGTTTTTTTGTGCCCGGGGCTCCCTTTTGCCTACCCTTGCCCCTTGTGGTGGAACTAGCCTTATAGCTCTAGTTCATTGGCGTAGCAGAAGGAGAAAAAGATGAAAATATGGATTAAAACAGAAGGAAGAGTCGGCTTAGGTGCAATCGGAGGGCGTGCACGAAAGCCACATCGGCGACCGCCATTGTTATGCATGAAGATATCTTCGAGGCAGCCATGGATATCTGGATAAAGGCTTGAGCTTTGCTTTGATTGGATTTCTAAGTTCGAGAATTCATGGGTGTAAACTCAAATGTCTCAAATGTATGTGCAAGCATGAACCTCTTCGGCGACAACCATTCTCCTCCAACTAGGTGAGGTGGCTGACCAAGTTGGATGAGTGGGTTGGCTGACCACCAGTTTGGGCGGGGCAGTCGTGGCTGTTGGTTTTTGTTTTTATTTTTATTTTTATAATTGGTTATTGTTTTTATTTTATTTTTATTTTATTTTTTATAATTGGTTATTGTTTTTAGTTTAATTTTATTAAAATGGTTAACATAGAAGGGACAAGTGTCAAGAAAGTAGATAAGTAAGAGGGAGGTACAGGGAAAAGGAAAACTAGGAAAACTGGACTCCAGAGCACCTCTCTCTCCCCTGAACCCGGTCGCCGCTTGTTCCTACTTCCAAGGTTTATAACACACAAAACCCCAGTGCAGCAACCTCCACCTGAACCTGTTGACCAAAAAAAAAAAAAAAACAAAAAAAACCTCCAGAATCCGTGTGTCTCTTCCACTTGGTGACTCACCCACATTCTCTCTCTCTCATATAAAAATACAAGCGTAGAGGGTTGCACGTCGACAGTAGCGATTGAATGTGGGCGTTACAGAAAATCATCTATGCTCTCGCTCTCCCTCCTGCCTTCTCGTCTTCGTCTCCAGCCCTCGTTTCCGGAACCTTCCTCTTCCTCAGGTCCTCCTCTCCTTCGTACGCATACACAGCCAAACCTCGCTTTCTCTCGCTCTCTTTCTCCTCTTCCATTTCTCCCTCGCATTCGACCATGCCTTACAACCAGGTACCAATTTTTTTTCTTCCAATTTTACGCTCTTTTTTTATTCTACCAGCGATCATTTTCTGTGTTTTCGAAGCTCGTTTGAGTTATATTTGTTTATATAATGCGGAGCAATGTAGTTTTAATTGATTGCTGATGGTTTCGCTTGTTGATCGTCGTCTCAGTGATTTATTGTCCCGAAGTTTGGTTGGAAATCGATTAATTTCTATTTTTGATTTCAATTTAGTTTTAATTTTGAACGGTGTTGTTTTTGTAAATGATGATCATTTGCTAATTATGGCTGAATTTAGCTTTGTAATTCCATGTGGTATTTAGGCACTGTATGGTTACTTCTTAATATGATGTTAGTTTCAGTGAAAACTAGGTTAGTTTTCCTATGTCAATATGAGGTAGTCTTGTATAGCCTAGGAGTATAGAAATTACACATATGAATATGTATGCATGCATGTCTTTGTGTGGTGCACATGGGTGATTGTGTACATATCTTAATGTGGTCTGGTTGCAATTTAGAAGTTAAATTCACATTGCTCCTGATGAAGCCAAGAGCCTCACAGGCTTACTGCAATGTGATTAAGAGAGAGGATACTGTAATTTTGTTTACTTTAGTTCAGCTTTCCTAGAGCTAATAGTATGATTGAGATGTTTGGTCTGCTTTCCAGAGAAGGGGCGGGCTTAGAGAACAAAAGTGGACAGAAAAGCAAAAGACTGACAGCCAACCAACCTCCACAGGGGATTCATCAGCAGCTACTGTGGAAGTTGCCACTAACAGAGTTGGCGGATTGAGTCTCAGTGGAAGCAATGGGCAGACCAATGCTTCAGTTAAACCCATACAGTTTGGGAAGGTCCAGTCGGTAAATCAGGGTCCAGTCCAAGGTCAGAAAGGAATCTGGATTCCTAAATCATATTCGACAGTCAGTGGAGCTAAGACAATTGAAGTTGAAGCACCTGTTGATAAAAGTACAGTTGGAATCCTGGGCAATGGAGCTGGACAAGCAGCAGATAAAAAAACCAGTATTGGTTTAAGTAAGTTGTTCAAGGGTGACCTGTTGGAAAATTTTACTGTGGACAACTCCACGTATGCTCAGGTGCAAGTGCGCGCTACTTTCTATCCCAAATTTGAAAATGAGAAGTCAGATCAGGAGGTACATTTTTGTCTTCATGCTTTTCCAATTTCAAACTTTCCATCCCATTTGCGTCTCTTGTATGGGAATAACCATACTTAAGGCTATCTCGAACAATGATGTCATGTTCATTGGATCATCTCATATAGCCAAGAGAAACAAGCGGCAATCTGGTCATCTTTTTATAGAATGATGTGATTCGATTGCTACTTGCCTTTACATAATGATTAGACTATCTATTTTTTCTTGGATCATACCTGAATGCTTGTCTGGTTAATCTGTCTTTGTTCAGATAAGGACAAGGATGATAGAGATGGTATCTAATGGCTTGGCTACCTTGGAGGTAAGGGGTTTTTATGAATTCTTTGTTTTACTTGCAAAAATTGCATTTCTTTCTTTTTGCATGGAAATTTCATCTGTTGGCTTTCATGTTAACAATAATTCTTGTTCTCTAGTGTTGGGGAGCCTCCAGTTGCTTATGCTTGCTTAAATTTACAGTTTTCTAGTTGATTCATCCTAATTTTGATGCCATTTTGTTTTTTTTTGTTTTTGTTTTAAATCTGAAGAATTTATTGATAATGATCCTTTTTGCAGGTTTCACTTAAACACTCTGGGTCTCTTTTTATGTATGCTGGTAATAAGG